AAATACTTAGAAATAAATCTATCAAAATATGCATATGAGGAAAAGTATAAAATTTTGAGGAAAGAAGTCAAAGATTTCAATAAATAGGAAGATATCCATGTTCATGGATAAGAAGACTATATATTGTTATCAGTTATTTCCAAGATGAACTATAGATACAATGCATGCAAAACTCATGGCAAGTTATTTTGTGTGAATCAACAAACTCTAATGTTTATATTGAAAGGCAAGAGACTCCAAATACCCAGCAGAATACTTAAGAAAATAAACACAATCAGACAACAGAAACTACCTATTAGTAAGACTTACTACAAAGTCAGAGTAATCAACATAGGACGATATTGGATTAATAACAAATACATATATCAAAGGAACAAAGGAAAGTGCTCAGAAATTGACCACCACAAATAGAGTCAACTGAGCAAAGGCAATACAATGGAGAAAGAATGATCTTTTCAACAAATGGTGTTAGAACAACTGGATATTCACAAGTAAAAGAAATGAATCCGGACACTGACTTTATACATCTCTCAAACATTTATTCAAAAGAAATCAGAGACCTAAATGCAAAACATAAAACTACTAAACTTCTAGAATATAACATAGGAGAAAATCTACGGACTTTGGGTTTAATGATGATTTTTAATATACAACACCAAAAGCACAATGCAAGAAGGAAAAAAAAAATGCTAAGTTGGACCTTATTAAAATTACACTTCTGCTCTTAAAAAGACATTTTAAAGAGAATAAAAAGACAAGCCACAGATATGAAGAAAGTATTTGAAAACAGAACTGATGAAAGACTAACATACACAATATATAGAAAAACTTAAAACAAGCAAGTCAATTAAAAATTGATAGATCTGAACAGACACCTCGCCAAAGAAGATACAGAGACAGTAGGTAAATAAGCATATGAAAAGTTGTATCCAATGTCATTAGGGAATTGCAAATTAAAGCAATCTTTATCAATAAAATTGCTTATCTTAATAAACATAATTGATTTATAATAATTGTTTTATCTCAACTATTTTATCTGAATACAATATCACTAACTCTTTTTAGAATAACTACAACTGAATACACTGACAACACCATATGCTGGGGGTAGGGCTTGTAGGTCTACAGTATCTCTCATTTACTGCTGGTAATAATGCAAAATGGGATAACCATGTCAGAAGACAGTTTGACAGTTTCTTACAAAGCGAACCGTAGTCTTTTCACATGATCAGCAATCACACTCCTTGGTAATTATCCAAATGAGTTGAAAAGTTATGCCTACACAAAAACCTGCACACAAATGTGTATACTGGCCTTATTCATAATCTCCCCAAACTGGAAACAACCAAGATGACTTCAACAGGTGAATGAATAAACATACAATGGCACATTTATACAATGGATTATTGTTCAGAAATAAAAAATGAGCTTCAAGTCACGAAAAATGTGAAGGAACCTTAAGAGCCTATTGTCAAGTGAAAGAGGCCAGTCTGGAAAAAAGCTACATTCTCTATAGTTTCAACTATATGACATTCTAGAAAAGGCAAAATGATAGAGACATTAAAAAAAAAAAAAATCCAGTCCTGGTCAGGGCTTTGGGAAGAGGACAGAAGGGGTAAATAGGTGAAACACTGAAATTTTAGGGAAGGAAAACTATTCTGTATGATATTATATTGGTAGATAAATGACATTATACATTTGTCAAAACCTATAGAACCATACAACATAGTGTGAACTATGAACTTAAGTAGTCATAATGTACCAGTACTGGCTCATCAATTTTAACTAATCTACTGTGCTAATGCAAGATGTTAATAATAGGAGAAACCATTTGTATTGGGGGAGTATGTAAGGGATGGAGGAGAGGGTACACAGTAACTCTGTGAACTCTCTGCACTATCAGTTTTTGTGTAAATGCAAAATTGTTCTGAAAATAAAATCTAATTTTAGGCTGACTATATTTGTTAATTATTTCTAAACAATCATCAGAATTTCTTCTGGGTTTACCATATAGAAATATATATAAACTGAGACTAATGATAGTTTGTTTCTTTTCAAATCTTGTATCTTTTACTTTCATTTCTTTCTTTACCTCTATTCGTAGTTTTACAATGTTGCTGAATAGAGGAGAGGTAGCAGATACTGTTTTTGCTTCTTAAAGATTTTACCAACATTTTGTATGTGAACTACATAACGAAAGTGTAGTATTTTTCATAGAGGCCATTTTTCTGTTTAACAAAACGTACTTTTTTTTTTTTTTTTTTTTTTGAGATGGTGTTTCACTCTTGTTGCCTAGGCTGGTGTACAATGGCGCAATCCCTGCTCACTGCAACCTCCACCCGGGTTCAAGTGATTCTCCTGCCTCAGTCTCTGGAGTTGCTGTGATTACAGGCATGCACCACCACATCCAGCTTTTTTTTCTTTTTCTTTTTTTTTTTTTTTTTTTTTTTTAGTAGAGACAGGGTTTCTCCATGTTGGCCAGGATGGTCTCAAACTCCCAAGCTCAGGTAATCTGCCCTCCTCAGCCTCCCAAAGTGCTGAGATTACAGGTGTGAGCTACTGCGCCTGGCCCAAAATATACTTTTTTGCTTTGATTCCTGCTTATCAAAAATGGATGGTAAATTTCCTTGGCCACTTTTCTTTATCTATTAAGGTAATCGTATGAAGTTTCTTATTTAATATTCTATGTTACTGCCAAGACAGAAGTTCAACATCTCTCTACTTGACCTACATGCTCACATGCCTCCTAAATTTCCTAATTTCCCTCTACTTTTGGTTTTTAGGTTTTTTCCTTTTATTTCAGCTCAACAATGTTTTTAAGATATATATTTAGTTTTAAAAATCTAATATATCTCATCCAAGTTTTACCCTAATTGGTAGTATATTTTAGGCTTTCTATTCTGCCATGTGACCATTTTTCATCAAAATCTACAAATGCTTTTCATGGTGTATCCATGGGCTGGGAGTGGTGGCTCACTCCTGTAATCTCTGCACTTTGGAACGCCAATGCAGGAGGATCACTTGAGCCCAGGAGTTCAAGACCAGTCTGGGCAACATGGTAAAACCCTATCTCTGGAAAAAAAAAAAAAAAAAAAAAGCAAAAATTATCTGGGCATGGTTGTGCACACCAATAATCCCAACTACTCAGTGGGCTAAGGCAGGAGGATCCCTCGAGCCTGGGAGACAGAGTTTGTAGCGAGCCAAGATCACACCACTGCACTTGGGCCTGAGTGACAGAGTGAGGCCCTGTCTCAAAAAAAAAAAAAAAAAAAAAAATCCATGTTTTCCTCTTAGAAAGCACTGTAACCACTAATTCCACTAATGGAAAAAGGGTTATTAGACAAGAGACATACACATTACAGTTATTGGGAAAATAACTGTATATTCCATATGAACTTATTGGTTTCTTAACTTAGCAGAGTTAACTTTCTTAACTCTGCTTTGGAAATACAGATCGTAGAGATGATAAAACAAATACGTGAAATAAAAATATCTTGTGAGCAAATTTAAATGATGGTGAATACTAACTTCATGGGCTTAGCCTAAAGCTGCTTCATCTTTGATTTTTCTTATCTGCAGAAATAATTAAAGTAAGTAGCATAAGACAATAATCTAGGAGCATAAGACAATAATCTAGGAGCTGTGTGAGAAGACAGCATAAGAATATAAAAGAAGACAGAAAAGTGTTCCCAGGCCAGGCACGGTAGGTCACACCTGTATCCCAGCACTTTGGGAGGCTGAGGAGGGCAGATCACTTGAGGTCAGGACTTCAAGACCAGCCTGGCCAACATGGAGGAATCCTGTGTCTACAAAAAATAAAAAAGTTAGCTGGGCATGGTGGTCCAGGCCTGTAATCCCAGCTACTTGGGAGGCTGAGGTAGGAGAATTGCTTGATTCTGGGAAGTGGAAGTTGCAGTGAGCTGAGATCATGCCACTGCACTCCAACCTGGGTGATGGAGTGAGACCCTGTTTCAGAAAAAGAAAAAAAAAAGTATCTCCAAAATAAGTTCAAGTGACATGTTCCAGTTATATAAGTAGAAAATTAATATACTGAGGCTTTTGTTTTATCTTTAATCATATACAAAAGGGTATTTACATGAAGAATAATACTTTAAAATTATCATTTCTAGTCACATAATCTGACAGAGATGACTCCTGACGTTCTACCCTCTCGCCAAAGTACCTTTCCCCTTCTCCTGCCCATTGGTTTAACAAGTTCTTTCTTTTCCTATGGGTCTTAGTTGAAAACCTATTTCTTTAGGGCAATCTCATCTGGTTTTCTACAATGGGTTGGACGACCCTGGTTTACATTTCTCTTGCATGCTGTCCTTTCTTTTTATAACAAGCATCGTATTTATATGACTATTCAACTTCTTTTGACTGTAAATTCCATGAGGACAAACCGGGTCCTCATGTTTTATTTGTTGTTACATCTCCAGGCCTTAGCATTGTTCTTTGTTCATACTGGGACTCAATAAGCAGTTGTTCAATTACAAAATGAATAAATGTGAAAATTCATTAATAACAATAGTCACTCTAGGTTGGAAAATACTTTGTTACTGAAGACAAAACCACTTGCACAATTAGGAAAAAGATAAAAAGCAGAAAGGTTAGACTGATATTAAACACTGATTAATTATTTCAACATTCTGTTTAAATAGCAGTTATTTACATATTTTATTATTTGATTACTTTAGAGATTATAAATATTTATCAAAGAATGTAATATGTTAGAACATTCATCTAAAGTCCCTCATAATGTTGACATTCATTCAAGAAGCTGGAATAGTTTACAAAAGAGCCCAAGTGTTTCAGAGTGTCTACATGGTATCTAATGAACAATTTACTCTCCTCTCAATAGCAGTTTTAAGTCTCTTATGTTAACATTATACCCCTATATATTAACATGTAGTCAACGTGCAGAAGATACTAAACTATGTGTCAAAACAAATAGTAATGAAAAATGGGGAAAAGGGGAGATTAATCATGAGTTCTTATACCTGTAAGTGATGTGCTTGTGCTGCCACTTCTGTCCTGTCAATGCATATCGCTTTCGACGAATATGAAATTTGGAGCTACCTCTTGTCTGGTCAGGTACACCGCATCGGGGCTTCTTCATCCAGCTGGGAAAAAAAAAAAGCAGTATTTTCCAGTTATTTACTAATAACCCTAATCATTAAATTCAAAAGGAAATCAATTAAGAGGTTAATCTGAGATAGTGATGATGAAAATGGTAAACTATAAAGTAAAGGCAACACTGAATTTTCTTGCACTTTGAATCTAAGTAGATAGCATAGTTTTTCCTGAATTATCAAGAAACACTAGTTTACTATTCAGATCCTTTAGATAATTTTCTTCTCTCTGATTTATTTTGAGCTAACTGTAGACAGAGGTACTCTAAAGCTTCTAAGAATTTGCTGTTAACAAGGTATATAATCTCGGGCAAGTCTTTAATTCCTAGTGTTACTCATAAAATGCCACTAAGGAGTATTCCACCTTTAACATTCAAAGATTATTCTAATCTGTTACCTGAGTTTAAATACCACGATTCAAGAGGATATATGCTACTCTGTTCTAATTTACATAGCAGTCAACTGTTTGTTCAAATAAAATATTCATTTCTCTACCTTTTCTTCTTTACATTTGATCATTATTTCATTTCCAAGCAGCAGCCACTTGCTTTGAATATTTGATAAATAACCAAATTCAATGCTTAAAAATATTTTTCTGAATATGAGGTTTTGCACTCACAAGACTAAGGTTTAATGTATTTCAATTTGAAAAGGAAATGCTGCTTTTAATTTATTAATCTTAATACATATACAGATAAAATAGTCTAATTTCTCTTCTAAAGAGTCTCATTGGACCACTGTCACATTTTCTATCTATTCTTGCATCTTATCTAAGTAGAAAGATTTTCATGATTTGGGGGGTAGTTTTTCTTTAGTGCTTTATAAAGCGACTTTACTGTTTATTAGTCTCTTTATTTTAATAACTACAAAGGTAAGGCAGAAAATTCATAGTGCTACATGGTTCAGAAAGTAAAAATGAAAAACAATTTTTGGAGTATTTGCATTACAATTTCTATACTTTTTAAACGCAAAAGGCATGATCATAGAGATGACTCTCTAAGTCATTTACACATTAAGTAATTTACATGTAAAGTAATTTACATGTTATGCAACAAAATCAAATAATCCACTTTTACAAACATAATAACTTTCTGCATCAGTGAAATAATAACTTTTACTTCTTAAGAAAGATGGCACGTTTCCAGAAAACATTAAAAGATTCTGCTTTCTTATTCTGACCCCAGTAATGTAGACCATGCAGTTACCAGAATTAACAAATTCCATCCTAGTTTAAATGCAGTGTAGAGTTACTTCAGAAAATCATTCTTCCCCTTTAAGTCCTCGAATTAAAAAATACATCTTGTAAATGATAAATTCTAAGAGGCTATCCAGCTTTACGGAACTGAGCTCTCAGGAGGTGAGATCAGAGGCCTCTCATTTTTAACTAACACTTCCAGGGTATTCCTAAACACAATGAATTCGAGAGATATTTCATTATATTGTAAAACACTCAAGAGAAGGGGTTTTGGTATTCTCAGTATCTTGCGCAACTCCTGGCATAGGAGAAATATCTAGATACTGATTTAACTAACAATTAAGTATTAATGGTGTGCCTACGATGATTTAAGTTGCTTTTATATGTGGGTATTAATTATATTCTCAAAAAATTATAATATTCCTAAGGTAGGTACTTATCTCATTGAAAGTCCCGGGAGAACAAACAATATGTAATTATGAAATATGAATATATTTACTTAATGTGGGATATGTTTACATTCACATTTAGCTAAGGAAAACATTTAAGTAAGCAATCTGTAAAAAAAAAAAAAAAAACAACCCGAAATGGATAGCTGGGTAAAATTTGAAACAATAGAATTCACTATTACCAGAATAAAATGTATTTTCAATAAGGGTATAGTCTCTAAAATTACTTTAGTATGTATAAAATTGAAAAATGAAGACAGTGATGTCATGCTTTTGTTGGAGTCAGTAAAAGATTTCTTTGTGAAGTGTATGCATCTTCCAAAGAACAGATTTTTTTTTTTTTGAGTCCGAGTTTTGCTCTTGTCACCCAAGCTGGAGTGCAATGGCATGATCTCGGCTAACCACAACCTCCACCTCCCGGGTTCAAGTAATTCTCCTGCCTCAGCCTCCCGAGTAGCTGGGATTACAGGCATGCGCCACCACACCCGGCTAATTTTGTATTTTTAGTAGAGACAGGGTTTCTTCATGTTGGCCAGGCTGGTCTCAAACTCCCGAGCTCAGGTGATCTGCCTGCCTCAGCCTCCCAAAGTGCTGGGATTACAGGCGTGAGCCACAATGCCCGGCCCAAAAAACAGATATTTTAGGGAGGAATATTAGGTTCCTGTGCTAAAAGACATTTCTACTGAATTCCTTATTTAAGTTTTGGGCTTTTGTCCACTTCATATAGTTGTTTGCTTGTGTTCTATTTGTTCATTTACCCATCTCATCCTGATTTATTCATCCTACAGTATTTTTGAGCTTTTACAACATGCTAACATATATAAAAGAAAGTATGGATTATAAGATGAAGAAAGAAAGAGCCCCTTCCTTACTGAGCTCATAGCACACAGTTAAGACACGTATCATTTAAAAAGTACAATATAATGGGGTAAGTGCTCTCACACCTCCATCTAGATATCCTGTCATCATCTCTAATGTTATATGTAATACAAAGAAAATAATGACATTCCTACCCCAAACTTTCGCCAATTTATCTGATGCCTCATCTTAACTGAAAGCCTTAGCATCTTCTAATGCCCACATCAGATATCCAGGTATGATCCTCTACTACTCTTTCCTCACATCCAACCACTCACAGTCTAGTCTCTTTGACCCTCAAAATGTCTCATATCTCTCACTCTCAACACTTTCTTCATTTTCACTACTAACAATACATTTTCCCAAAGCAAAGGTGTGTTCTCTACATGTTCTGAGCATGAAATACCTTTGTAAAAAGAATCTGATTTAGGTCCACTTAGTGAGGGTGTCCCCTGTCCTCCTTCTCAAAATCCACTCGAGTTTCTACAGAACCAAAACTCTTCCTGCCCTTATATGTAGTGACCTCTGTCTGCACTACTTTTCACTCCTTGTTCACCCTGAGAATCCTAATTATTCTTTAATAGTCAGCTCACATAGATATAGTTTACCACCCCAATGCAGCATGTCTTATAATGTGTATCCTGATTTGTATGTGTCTGTCTCTATCTGCCACTGACCTGTGAGTGAGGGTAGACAGCCAAGCACGAGGTCAGTGCCTAGTGAAGTCGCCAATAAGGAACATGAAGCAAATGAACTAAGTCTGTATGTCATTTTGCATATACTGATCATTTCGACAATCCTACATATTTCTTGAGGACTTCATAACTTTCTCCAACTCTGCGCTTTTAACAAATGATTATTGCAGAGATAGTACGTGGACACTTATATAAAACAAAATCATGAAGTAGATAATTTACACATAAGAAATAAGCATAACATATATAATATAATACCAATTAATGATTTAATGAAAAGAACTCTGAATGAAGATTGGTAAAGTTGAGAATACTCCCTGTTAACTTCACCAATATTTGTATGTAAACATTCTGGCACAGAAATATTAGTGGGTATCAAAGGATGTAAAATACCATAAATATGATCAAAGCACATCACACTACTGAACATGACACAGAATCTGAGCTAAATCAGTCTTCAGGCTTTTGTATGTGACTTTCAACATTTGATTTCATAAGCAGGCAGGTCCTTTTTTTTTTTTTTCCAGATTTCTTTCCCTTTATCATGAATTTTTTTTTAAATTTTTTTTATTTTTTATTTTTATTATTATTACACTTTAAGTTCTAGGGTACATGTGCATAACGTGCAGGTTTGTTACATATGTATACTTGTGCCATGTTGCTGTGCTGCACCCATCAACTCGTCATTTACATCAGGTATAACTTCCAATGCAATCCCTCCCCCCTCCCCCCTCCCCATGATAGGCCCCGGTGTGTGATGTTCCCCTTCCCGAGTCCAAGTGATCTCATTGTTCAGTTCCCACCTATGAGTGAGAACATGCGGTGTTTGGTTTTCTGTTCTTGTGATAGTTTGCTAAGAATGATGGTTTCCAGCTGCATCTATGTCCCTACAAAGGACACAAAGTCATCCTTTTTTATGGCTGCATAGTATTCCATGGCGTATATGTGCCACATTTTCTTAATCCAGTCTGTCACTGATGGACATTTGGGTTGATTCCAAATCTTTGCTATTGTGAATAGTGGCAGGCAGGTCCTTTCTTATGGAAATTTTAAAGTTCCCAATGGATACAAAGAACGGTCAGTGTTTAACAGGATTCATCAATGCATGAAATGCTGTCTAATATTAAATGCAAAACTGGCATGTTAATGTTTTTATTCAGTTAGAGTCTAGCAGTCAGGTTCATTTCCAGTTGCCCAAATAGATAATATAAATTTATTAGGCACCAAAATGTTAGTAGCATTCAAATATCAATTTGATAAATCCCATACATACCTGTTTACACAAAAAGCAGGACTATATAACTACATATAGCCACATACAAAGTTAACATATAAGTGTATTTTATATACATATACCCATATATATGTGTGTGTGTGTGTATATATATGGGTATATACAACTGGCAACTTGGTAAAATCTAGTTGCCACCTTTTTTTAAAGCTTTCAATAACATTATTTTCAGGCAGTACATTTTTGTGACAGTGTCACTGCTTAAACATAGTTGCTTTTTTAGTGTGTCAACACACAACTCATATAACAGTGATTTTTCTTTTTCTTGACTGACTCATTTGTAAGAAACTTTAAGTTGACATCCCAAAGCAAACAAAGACACGGGAAAGGGGCACTGCAGCATGTGGTAGAGGGTTAACTAAAAAAGGCATTTTGTAATTATTAAGGTGTAAATAATGGCATGGCTTCAATTTTCATAAATGAAATACTGATTTAATTTTTGGGAATTTTAGAGAATTTTAAAATTAGGTGGGCAGATCATTAATGTCCTCATTTAAGTTAAC